ATACAAATTTTTTTGTTTTTTTTTTTTCTATACACATAGATCATCTATGTTAAAGCAACAAATCATTAACTACAATTTTGATTCAAAATGATTTATGTGATTTACATAAACAGTCCAATTTACTAACCATTATCTCATTAAAAGTATTAATAATAATGTGCGAAAGCATTAACATAAATCATACTTTTCCCAAACTTAATTTTGCCCCATTAAAAGTTTGTTTTAGCGAGCAATAATAACTCAGATTAGTATAAATGTTAATTAGTGTCTGTTAACTGAACATAAACGATAGATCAGTTGATAAACGAGACAATCAAATTATATATCATTCATATATTTATATATATTTATTTATATGAATATTATTAAATAACTAAAATATGTATTGGTTATGTATGGGGATATAAAAAGGTTACAAAATTTGAAAAAAGATAAAATTATTTCACAGATGTTGCTATGACATATTGACGTTAAATATTTTTTTTTTTTTTTGAATAGTTTGAGAAATAATTATTCATACACAATTTCGTGGAATGGAACATCCCTTTATATACGTGTGAGAGAAAAAAAATAAGGGCCAAAAAGATCGTGCGAAAGCACCAATACTCGTTGTACTTTTCAACTCTGTTCGATAGTTTTACTTTACAAGTGAACACCAAAATGGGCTACTTTTTATCTCACACTAGTTAGACATTTTTTGTCCTTTTTAAATACCACCAACCACACCACACCTCGAGAAACTTGCAAGTGCACTCGAACTTGACGAGAAAAAAAAAAAAATACTCCTCCTCAGACCTCCTCCATCGTTTTCGTAACCAAAAAAGATAAAAGGAAAAAAAAAAAAAGTAAATATCGTGTCTCTATATTTAATTTTCTATCACACGTGTGTATTTTTAAAAACTCCGACGCACATTTTTATGAAAACGAAAATAATTTCGTTTAATTTTCTACGCGAAACGCGTTGGTATGTAAAAATAAAATTTTTCAAATTAATTTAGAAAATAATGTTTATATATTATATATTAATTATAATATTTTTCTTCTCAACAAAAATATATTGGGCAAAATTTGTGATTGATAAATATATGAAAATAAAATATATATTAATAAATATTAAAATATTTTCTCTGGAAAAATAAATTCGAAATATTCATTTGTCAACTTTTTCATTTTTAACATTTAATAACGACGTAATTTATATAATTCTCCTTTTTTTGTTTCACTAATCTCGTATAAGTAATTATTTAAATATTCATATTTAGTAGTCTTAAAAAAGATCTAATTTCTTTTTTTATTCATTTTTTTTTTTTTATTATGACCATACTACTTATCATCAGTACAATACCATAAGATATCATCACTGAGTTCGAGAATTTGATCGTATTGTTCCCTTTCAAATCTAACAATGGGAAATATAAGATAAAAATCTCGAAGAAAATCATACACGGAGTCAGCATCTTCGAACGAATCGAACGATTTCTACTTCTTCTTCTTTTTTCTTTCTATGTTTTACTTTTTTTTTCTCTCTCTCTCTCTCTCTCTCTTTTCTTCTTCTTCTTCTTATCTATAAGAATCTATCTATTTAACTATGTATCCCCATGGCACCCCCCTCCTCATCTCCCCATGAAATAAAGATTACGCGGTGGTGGATTTCGATTTGCAGTAAAAATAGATGGAAATTTTAGTGAGATCCGAATAAATGGGGGACCACTCCGAGTAACAATAAAATGTCAAGAACAGAAGAAAAGAAAAAAAAAGGAAAAGAAAAATAAAGTGTTACATTATTCGTAGTAAGCCACTAGAAAAAATGTCTAACCCAGTGTTTTCCCAATCTCTCGCGTGTAACATTTCAATCCAGAAGATTTTTTTTCTCTTATAAGATACGAATACGAACATTAGAGTTCGAAGATTACGAACATTAAATTTATTTATTTAGTATTTTCTCTCGTCCAAAATTATAATTTTTAATGATAAAATATCACAGGGAACTTGGAGTTCCCAAGTGATATTTTATCATTAAAAATTAAATTTATTAACTGTCGATATATATATATATATATATAATCTGAGATTAGATAAATTTAGTTGAAAGATTTTTATATATAAAAAAAAAGTAGAAAATAAATTTTTCATATTAGAGAAAATTTATTATAATTTATAGAAAATAAAAGTTTTGTGTTCTATCGAATATTTATAACGTATATTATATTTCTTATTGTTATATTATAATATTTCTTTTAACGATTTTATTATAAATAATATAGTGTTTACACAATTTTCTATCTTTACTTTATTTTTGAATTTAATTTATGATCAATATATATATTTATGCATTTGCGTTGATCAATTGAAAATTGCAAATTTTCTTATAAACAAATAAATAAATTTCTCATTCTTTCTCTCTCTCTCTCTTTTTCTGAGATAGTAATCAGCCAAGTGTAAAACAATAATGATTTACTTCAAAAGAATAGTAGTTACTATGTAACGATAATGTAGATATATTTAAATCTAACAAAACGATTTTATATAGTAAAATTTAACGTTACCATTCACTCGTAAATATCATTTTCTCTCGTTAGTATTCCATTTTCTTTCCTATCGTTATGCTAGTAGAAATTTATAGACACACAAAAGTGAAAAGAATTCTATTTTTCCAAAGAGGAATCCTCGTTAACGATCCATTATCGTCATTACTATTGAATTTACTATATATTTTGTACAAAAATATTCGCCAATAATAATAAAGTATCCTGATATCTCAAAATTTCTTCCAATAATTTTATTAATACATTTTAAATAACTATAAAAAAGAAAAAAAAATTTATTTAATATTATACAATGAATTTAATTACGTGCAACTTATTTTTTTATTAATAACCTAAGCAACATTGCAAACAAATAACGGAAATAATTAGATTGACTAACAGTTGCTTGACTACCCTGTATATAAAATCAAGAGTTATATACAATTATTATTATAATTAAATAAATAACATTTCTATAATATATATATATATATTATAAATATATATATATAAACACATAAAAATAGATAAATGTAATAATAATAATAATCTATATATTATTGTGTGTCTGTGTTATTATTAATAAATAACAATTATTAAAATATTTTTGTTCAGATATTGGACGACAACAAGTAACGGACAACAACAATCAGTAACCGATATTCCTCGTGATGGTAAAGCTGCAATAATCAATAGCATTGCATCATCCTATGCATTGCAAAGACCAAGATTGAATGCAACACCGACTCCTAGAACTATCGGAAAATTGATTGACCAAAATAATAAATACAACACCGATGGAAAATCGAATTGGCCTTATTATCAAATGTATAGGCACTCTGTGGAAGCGCAAAAAGCTGAAATTTTCAAAGACATTCAAAGAAAAATGGCGAACACGACGGGTTTATCGAAATTTGGCCAGTCATGGATTAACAACAACGGCACGGATATATCCCAACAACAACGTCAGCATAAACTTAGAATGAAACATCATAGATTAATGACTAAGGGGAAACATCTAAGAACGCGTAAGTTATTCATTCATCAATTATTCCTTCCAAATTATAATAGTATCAATAATAAATAATATAAAATTTCAATCATTTTAAAAAATACGAATAATTTATTAATTATATAATTATTGTTATATTAATTTATTAATTTATTATATATAATTTATAATTTATTAATATAATAATTTTTAGCAAAATCATACTATTATAATATCTTATTTTATTAATGTAAATTAGAATAACAAAATTAATATATATAAAATGTACAAATAAATATAAATAATTATTATTACTTATATATACAAAATATTATCCGTTTCTTTCTATATTTTTTTTTATCTCGTTAATAATTAACTAACCGAAACAATGATAAAATAATTTCGAGCGAAGGATAGTTCGAAAAAAATTGATAAGCGCATATATGCGTCCTTAATCCAAACTGATCGTTCTCCTTGGACACATAAATATGCACCCATAACATTCAAACTGGTTAAATTCAACCGATGATTATAACAAAAAAAAATAAAAAACGAAATGTAAATTAAATGATTACGGATTAATATTACATAATTTGATTTTGTAATGTTTTAGGTCCACCAAGGGATTGCAAAGTTAGCGAATGGGGTCCATGGAGTGCATGCAGTCGTAGTTGCGGTGTTGGGGAAACACAGAGAACAAGAAAAGTGACGATAAAATCACGCCGTGGTGGAGCTGCTTGTCCGCCATTAAAAGAAACAAAATGGTGTGGCAGCGTTAGTCCTTGTCCAGAAAACAACAAGTCTAATCTCGAAACGTTTCATTGGTAGTTCGTCGTATTTTGAAGTAATTAACAATCCAACCAAACAATTCTACTTTTGGTCCTAATTTTACGAATTGGACCTAAGAGTAAACAAAAGAAACAAACAAACAAATACACACACACATACACACAGAGACACGATAATGGCCATATTATTATCGAGAGATTAATTCAATAATATTTAATATTATCTTCTCGATTAATAAGGATTTTTTTTTGGAAGGTGATAAAATACATGCCATCTGTAAAAAGAAAAAAAGAAAGGAAAGGAAAGAAAAGGAAAGGAAAGAAAAATAAAATGTGAGAATTTATATCCTTTTCTCGCTCTCTTGGTAGTGTCATTTGTGTTCGTGAGGAACACACGCACACACACACACACGCGTCGTATATATATATGTATAAGTATAAAATTACTATCAATCGTTCGGAACGCGGCAATAATCATCTATTGAACAAACGTAGTCCTAATTAAATCACCAAAGATTCATCATACTTGAAACATATATATTATTATTATTATTATTATTATTATTTTAATCGCAGTTGGTAATTGTCGTTGTTACCTAACGATTGTATACGTTTCATTATTATTAGAATTATTTTTGTTCTAGGCACGTGAATGAAAAAAAATTCATTTATATTTTATATTATGTTAAAAATTATATTATTTTCGCATTGAGAGATACATACGATACGTATGTATATATGTGTGTATGTATATTTGTTTGAAAGTAATATCGATGCTATTGTAACGAAAAAACCGATCGATTCATCTGGATTGAATATTTTTTTCTTCTTCTTTTCTTTTTTTTCAGAAATACACACACACGATATGAAGATCCTTAAAAAAACGGCAAACTATAAATGAAGTCAATATAATAATAGTTTATAATAGTTTTTAACGAGAACAATAGGAACAACATACGAACACACAATTTTTCGTATTTTTCTTATGAAATGAATTGAGAAATGTTTTAAATATTTTCTTAAAAATGATACGACTGTGTTATTATATAACAAGTTTTTTATATTTTTATTCATTAAAAAATATCCTTACGACGACAACAAAAAGAATAGAAAAAGAAACGTTTGAAAAAATTCAGCTGAAAACTCGTCAACTTCGACAATTTCTAGTCAATGATTTAACCAAAGAATAAAAATCGAATTAATCGTTAATCCCCCCGACCCCTATCTTGTCTCGTATGTAATTATAACACTGTTTAAAGATAACAAAAATTAAAAAAAAATATACAATAAAATAAAATAGAATAAAAAAAGAACAAATAGAATTGCCATAGTCCTTGCGTTTAGCGTCAAAATTAAAATTAATAATAATAATAATAATAACAATGATGACGATAATTAATAAACACGATGATAATAAAAAAAAAAGAAAAACTTTAGGAGGAAAGAGAGAAAAAATATGAGAAAACAATACAAAAAAGAAACCCCCCCCCCCATGCAGAACTAGACGTTTTTTATAGAGACACGCAGTAAAAAAAAAAGAAAAATAAGATTTTCCAAAAAGTGTGTTCATATGATGTGTTATATTGGTAGTAGTATCGACAAAAAAAGAAAAAAAAACCAAACGCAGAACTAAACCAGCTGAATGTTAGAAAAAAACGAAAGAAAAGAAAATCAATTAATTCAGAGATTATTATCACTTATAAGATTTTCAGAAAGAAACAAAAAAAAAGGGTTCCTTTCTCAAAATCGCATTCGACATCGTTTGAATACTTGAAAGAGAGAGAGAGAGAGAGAGAGAGAGAGAGAGAGAGAGTAAAATCGTTTCCTTACAATTAAATCATTCGTCATATCATTATTGGCACACCTGTGTTGTGCATTTTATGATGAGAGAAAATATTGTACTACGTGCTCTTTGTTTGCGTGCATGCATGCATGCATGCGTGCAAACGAGCTTGCCGAAAATAATTATTACAAAAATAACTTCCAAGAGAAAAATGCAAAAAATAAAAAAAAAAAAAAAATAATAATAACAATAATTTTGCAAATAATGGTATAAAAGAAAAAAAAAAAAGAAGAAAAAAACCTTGTATCGATAATAGAGAGAGAGAGAGATGAGATCATCATCACTCGTGTGACAAAGAAGAAAAGAAAATAAAAAAAAAAAAAAAATAAAAAAAATCAATATCTTTTCGCCTAACGGCAGACGTATATATAATAATAATAATAATAATAATAATAATAATAATAATAATAAATAATAATTATAT